ACCCCTTTGCCTTCCTTGGGGTGACGCTCACGATGGAACTGGACTGGAAACACCACAAAAAGGCGGTTCTCAACAAGGCGCGGGACAAAGCAAGGCACTTGGCCAGGAGCTGCATCACAGGGAGGCAAAAACTCCTCATCATAGAGACATGCCTGAGACCATCCATGGCATATGGGCTGGCCCTCATGCCATTTGCCTACCCCGACCTAACGGTGATGAGCTCGGTGCTGACCTCAGCAACAAAGCAGGCGGTGCGCCTGACCACGGCCGCCCCAAACCTCCTCATCCAGAATGCGCGTGCCGCTGGCGGACTTGGCTGTCACTCACTGGCGGTGGAAGCTGCCACGCAGGCCGCAGAGCGCACCATCACCTGCCTGAATGACAAAGGCAGAATAGGCAGGATCACAAGAGCTCTGCTCAGGGCACAGCTGGAGCTACACAATGGCACCGCCACGGACGTGGTAGGACCGTCCAACAACAGGCCGAGCTGGCTGCACCAATACAGCATGGGGCTGCGGAGGCTCGAAATAGCGCGCCAGACGGGCCTCTTCCTGGCAAACGATGCGTGCGATTTCAAAACCAAACAGCTGTCACAGCAGCTCAAGGCGTGGCTGACTCGCCTGGGCGGCGCGCCGGCCGCCAAGCCCACTGCCTTGAAAGCGATTACCGATGCACTCGCACCCGACCTGATGAAGTTGTGGCCTGCTGGAGTGGATGGGCTAGCCGACTTGCTCGATGCAACAACTGCGTCGACGCGCCCACTGAGCGCACTGCGGCGGCAGCTTGACAGAAAGATTACCCAGGGCCAGAAGACTGCGGTAGCACGCATCACACGGGTACTGAACTCAGGGGACGTTGCATCCAGAGTTCTCCCAAAAGGCTTCAACAGGAGGTTGGACGCGCCCTCAGACGCTCGCCGTGTTGAGGCCAGCCTCTGGGCCCTGCTGGAAGCACCCAAGGGGCCCAAGAAAGGGGGCCAACAAGATATTATTCAATACCTGACCAGCAACCCACGCCAGAACCCCGTTGCCCACGCCCGGCCCACTGCCGGCGGCAGGGCTGAGACAGGTCGCAACTGTGGGGGCGAGGCCGAGCCCAACACGGCGGAGGATGATGCGATTATCGCAAGGCCCGCCAAGCGGCGCATCACCGCACACAGGTGCAGGGATGCCTGCCCAGGCAAACGACCCAGGGAGGCGCCAATGAAACCGGCGCGCCGCCGTGCAGGGCAGAAGAGCCGCAAGGAGCGGAACTACAGGGCCTGGGAGACAAGGATGTGGGGCTTTAGGGAATACCAACTCAAAACCCAGGAAAGGAAATGGAGCAGCGAAAAATCTAGGACGCACGCGCTTGGCGAGATGTGGAGCTCGTGCGGCATCTTTGATGAAATCTCCCACGTGGTGGGTAGGGCGACGTCAAAGCACAACAGCAGGCGCGACGCCCAGCTTGTGCTGGCGTGGCAACCGACCATCTATCAGCAGTTTGAGGTAGACCTTGCATGCGAACAGGGCTACACCGTAAAGAACAAGACGCCTGCGACCCTGCAGGATCTCGAACATGAGGGCTGCGGCGTGTGCGACTACTGTGCGCGACCGGCCACAAGCATCGGGCCCGCAGCTGACGCCAGGCCCTGCGACCATTGCCAGAGGCTATTCCACGGCGAGTGCGCAGGCAAAGCGGAGGGGACGACGCCACCTGCCGCCCCGCTGCCCTGGGAGTGCAAGGACTGCTCGCACTGCCGGGGGAGCCCAGCCGCACGAGCACGGATCATGCAAGAGTGCGCATACTGCAGGGTGGAGTGGGGCGACTCTGTTGAGACATTCACCCAAACAGACATGGCGCAGGAGCCGCTGGTGACGCTGATCAGGGAGTGGGAGCAGCGCAACGCGCACAGAGCCGCACATGAGGAACAGGAGAGGGAGGCGGCAGCAGAAGCTGCCCAAACAGCGGCACTGCAAGGGAGGGGCCACCAGCTCACAGACAGGGAGAGACAAGGTCTGCGCAACCCCCCAGACACACGGTATGACATCACTGTGGGCCAAAGGCTGCGCACCAAGCTGCAAGTAGTGACCAAACCGATCGACCCTGAACTGGACACCCAAGCGACGGGCAGATGCTCGGCGCAACCCCGACTGCTCCGAGGCAGGATTGCCGCTGCTTCGGTGACCCACCCAGTAGAGGCGGTGTGCATATATGAGCCCAATGGCTCCTGCGCTGGCCTGCTTGAAAGGGACAGGGCGCAGGCCTTGGCGGCGTGGATGACCGCGGCCTCCGGAAAGCCGCCCACAAAACCTGAGTTTGCAAAGGCTGCTGCGGCTCTCATGCGGCGAC